CGAAACCGCTGAATCACACTGCCCCCTCAAAATATCATATCTCCAATTTTAATCTTTTCTCGAAAGGGCGAATGAAATATCGGAATTTTTTCGTTTTGTCTGCCCTCGGCCTCGAATTATGTTGACGCCCGCCCGTTGAAGGCATCTATTTCAGGAGGGGCGCCCTCAGATAAAACGCGAAAAAATCCTGTGGGAAGGGGAAAAGTCTAAAGGGACCGGAAAGCCAAAAATTTGTAACAAAATTTATCACAATTTTTCAGGCTTCAAGCCTACACGTGCCACTTGAGTCCGGGCGGTGGATGTACGTTGGATAGATTTACGCACAAGGACAAGGTACGGAAAATTTGAATTTTGCATTTATTTGACGACTTCACCTTTCAAAATTCCTTGAAGGAGGGCTGCTACGCACTGCGGCCGTGGAAATACCACCCCGATGAATTTGGATTTTGGTTCCGCCTGGAGCGCCGGGAGCGGAATTACGGAAAGCGGAACACGAATCGGCCGGCGAGAAAGGTGGGGCTTTAGGCTTAGGCTTAACTTACAAGGGAACCACAAGTTGGCACGGTGGAATTTCGAAAAACGCTCGCGGCTACCCCTAGGTTTTCGACTATGGTGATTCCAACGCGCTAGTCAGAAGTAGCTAAATCGACCTGTGGACAGAGATACAGCACTTCCGGAAAATGATCAATTTACATTCGGAGGAATTAGCATTCACCTCAGGGTTTATGAGGGCTTCCCATCTCAGAAGAATCACCAGTTGAACGGCCGGGTGGTAAGCGGCTAGCTTGTTAGGATACTGACCAAGGTTCGAATCCGTTCACGACTTTTTTGTTTTACGTTTTGGACGGAACTTTGAGCAAAACTACAAGCTTCTAAAAGCTACTCGTTCGTTTGAAAGGGGCTGTCGCATGAAAGATGCAATTTCAAAACGTTTTTGCAGGAATCGGCCTCATCACCAACGAATAAAAGCTTTACTATGTGAAAAAAATCGAAACTTCCGTCCAAAAAGCAAAACAAAAAAAGTCGTGAACGGATTCGAACCCTGGTCAGTATCCTAACAAGCTAGCCGCTTACCAGCCGGCCATTCAACTGGTGATTCTTCTGAGATGGGAAGGGCTCATAAACCCTGAGGTGAATGCAAATTCCTCCGAATGTAAATTGACCATTTTCCGGAAGTGCGGTATCTCTGTCCACAGGTCGATTTAGCTAATTCTGACTAGCGCGTTGGAATCGCCGTCGTCGAAAACCTAGGGGTAGCCGCGAGCGTTTTTCGAAATTCCACCGTGCCAACTTGTGGTTCCCTTGTTAGGCTTAGCTTAGGTTTAGGCGTAGACTTCGCTTAGGATTAGCTTAGGTTTAGGCGTAGGCTTAGTTTAAGCTTGGCTTGGCCTAAGCGGTGATTTTTTGATTTTTGATACCTTACTTTGTTGTATTTTCGAACAAGCCCGCGGGGACCGGCAAAAACCCCGTTGACAAAACTCCCAACCGCCAGAGCTTGTTTTTTGTCGGAACCCCATGTTGTTAAAATCCGGGAGGCGAATTTTAAGCAATGGGCTGGCGCGCAAAAACTCCGGGCTTCCGCCGTTCCTTGGGGAGCCGGAAAAAGCGCCCTGCTTGCCGGGGATCCCAAAATAACGAACCAACACAACAGGGGAGGGTTTGGGGGGTCGAAATCTGGCGGGTTATATTTTTTTATACAGTCTGGATATTTTGTAGCTTCCAGGAAATCAAAACTTGAAGCTTACCTCTAGAATCGCCGAGCTACGGGAGGTAGCTTGGTTTTAAAACTATTAAAACGTTTGAAACCTTGTATGCATTTTTATGAAATATCTTGGTACACCATTCAATGGATACCGAAGGAGGAGAATCAATACAAACTTACAATCGTAATAATTAATGATTTTCCGATTAGTTTAACCCGAATATTGCAGACGAACCGCGCCCGCCGAGTTCGTGACTCCACGGAAGTGCTTGGCCGTGTCGTCTTGGAGGGAATTCGCCCCTGCTCGGAGACGTGCACCAAGGGTGTCTCCAGATATTCGATCACCCTAAATTAGGAAAATTCTCTAGAAAAAACTGTTCAAGAAGCAACGAAAAGGAAAGCAATAATTTCTCATCGGGTTCAAACCTTAACTTCAAAGTTTTAGCCTTGAATCGATGGCCAAATTTAATGCAGCTGCCTATTCTAGATCAAACTTTATTTTTTAAACGCTTTTATAATTGTAGTTTTTGAGAATAATGCATTGTAACATAAAATTTGCACTCCGCTCCACCCCGCCTCCATTTAGGGTCTACGATTTTGCCATTGCCACCCCGATATGCCCCGTTTCAAAACTCAGTTCAACTGGCCCCTTGCACTCTCACTCACTCACTCACAAACCCCCGTCCATTCCACGATGCACCTTTTGCCGATCGCGCTTTTCCATAGACAATTTGTTTTAATGCGTTTTATACAAAATTACGGACCCGTTTTTCCACGACTGCCGAGACACCCCATGACACTGCGAATTTTTCGACGATTTAAAGCTTGTACCGTAGTTTCTTCACTCTTTTTTTTTGTCCAGGTTTTAGCCCAGATTCAGCAGCGTATATTTTATAAGGTCAAAAAAAATAAATTACGCTGAGCCTGGGTAAAAACCTTTCCTCCATAATTTTATTCAGCCGCTTCTGTGGTGCCCGTAAAATCTACAAAATATTTTTAGGCGTTTTCCTGAATTAACTGCTGCTTTTTCGATGCGATGTGCTCTCCCGGTTGCCTTTCCCTCTAGCCCCCTTGAAACTGGCCAACAAAGTGGCCGAATATATTGCCTTAAAGGGACTAGGACACTCAAAAAGGTTACAGGCTCTGACTTCCTGGTCCCTTTAGACGATCCAGCCCAAGGCTTCACTATTTAGAATTCGTTTATGCATTTATTAACGTGTGTTTGAAGAATAAATTGATTTTTTTACTGTATCGCACTACAGACACGGCTACTTACATTACAAACTACAACTTAATGCTGAGAACCAGAAAAACGCATCCCGTCGCGCTGGAACTCAACAATTAGCGTAATACTGGGAATATGTTCACAGCCAGATTTAGGCGTATCAACGCGGTTTTTAGAGGTATTTGTTACCATTTCCTAGCAATCAAACTAGCATAACCGCTATACAATTACATATTATTAAGTCGAAATGAGAAAAATTAGCTTTCCAAGGCCACCACCCCCCCCCCGTTAGCAGTTTAGTACCGAGATATCTTAAATTGCATTTATCTAGGTTTTCAGACAGTTTTTTCGAATGTCGGACACAGATAGCCTAAGCTTGTGCTTAGGCTTAGGTTTAGCTTATGCCTGGGTTGAGCTTACGCTTAGGGCTATCAGCGGTTTTTAATTTTTTCGCTTGTTTCTTTTGCCATTTTTCCAATTCTCCAAAAAGTTGCAGCAAGTACGAAAAGCTGGGTTGGGAGTCTCCCGTTGTAGTTTGCCCATTGTGATCCTGGCTCTCTTTTTTGTTGCGGAGGAGCCGGATAGCTGCCTTTTCTTTTGGAGGGCCATATGAAAGGTGAGCATGGGCCCTCCGGCTCCTCCTCGTCCTCCTCTGGCCCCCTGGGGTTATGCATGAACGACCTCTCGCACAATATCCCACCGGAATCCTTCTTTTTCTTTCAAACTACGTTTCGGGGTTTCTTTGGAGCCGAACATTCGAAACACGAAAAAACTTCCGCGCCCGCGCGTTTGGAACTTTGCGACTTTTCGGTCTGGTTCACATTTTTTTAACGACTTTATGGCCTAAATAATTTAATTTTCCGGATTCTTGCATGTTTTTACAATTTTTATAAAATATGTGTAGTTTAAAGAAGAAAAAGAAAAAAGAAAATAAAAGGGCGGGGAAAAAAAAAAACGAAGGCAAATAATATTGGGGGGGGGGGGGGGGGGGGGGGGGGGCCAAAAAATAAAAAAGAGGCCCCCGGGGGCGAAGGGGGGGATTTTTAGGATGGGGGGTTTTTTTTTTTTTTTTTTGGGGGGGGGGGGCGGGGGGGATTTTTTTGGGGGGCGGGGGGGCGCGGGAACGAACGGGGGGGAAAAAAAAAAAAAAAAAAAGGGAGAAGGGAAAAGGAAGAAGGGAAAGGGGAAATGGAAAAATGGGGTTTAGAAAACCTACCCCTTTTTAAACAGGAAATTTCAAAATTTTTGTTTGGGGGCGCAAGTAATCGGAACTGGAGGGGGGGGGGTGGGGGCGGGGGCCGAGGGGGCGGAAAGCCGGGGGGGCGAGGGGGGGGGGGGGGGGGGGGCGGCGGGGGGGGGCCGGCGGGGCGGGCGGGGCGGGGGGGCGGGGGGGTATGCTAACTTAATAATTATCACTCAAAATCTTAGAAAAATTTCTGGACGGATGATTTTGGCAGTGTTTACGGGCTTAGGTTAAGTTTACGAGTTCATCGAGTTTCTCAAAACCAGGTATGATTGTAAAATTTGTAGTGAAGTTTACAAGTTTCGGAATAAGATCCATTAGTGCCTCTAAAAATGTCGAATCTTGTAATAATCCGCTTACGACCTAGGGACGACGCTAACAACTCTCTCTCTCTCTCTCGCTCTCTCTCTCTCCTTCTCTGTAAAAAGGTGTATCTCGTCGTCATCTTAATTATTCGGAGGAGGCAGCCGTAAAAAGGGAAAAGCGGCAGCAAGGCGAACGGGGAGGCCACAACGGGGCCAAACTTTCGACTAATTGGATCAATCCATCCAATGTGTACTCTTGTTTCGCTTGACCCTACCTTTCGCTGGGTTTTCATTCTTGACCCCGGAAGCTCCATTCAACGTCAAATTCCGATTCCGGGAAGCCAAATCCGGAATTCCGGAAACGGCCTAGCGCTGCGTATACGATGAGAAAAACGCTCCGTTGATGCGGTTTTTCGAACATTTAAAAATAAACGTTGCCACGGGCTTTATTCAGCTTCTTGCTTTGCACTTCATTATTTACTATTTTGAATGTAATTTTTGTGTTCAACCCATAACAAAATCTAGATGCGACCCGGCACGATATGGTTACTTTTTCTATGCTTTACTTGCAAAATCACCGCCCAGGATCTTCGCCAGTTTGATAGCGATGATCGGGTAGGATTTGATCATAGCAAATACGAAAATAGTGTCGATTTAGAACCCATAATTTTTTGCAAGGATCCTAGTAATTATACAAGCGTAATATTTTTCTAGAAAGTGATGCGAATCTTCGGCTCCTCATCACCAGCTGGAGGTGGAAGGCAAGACGATGCCGGGGAGGTCGTCGACAAAGAGAGCATCTACCAGCAAGGGTACCATATTTTCAGATATAATAACCTGGTAGAACGTTTTTAAATGTATATTTTCCGTTTTTATCATACCAATTCAGGCAACACGGCCAGTTCTTGCAATTCTTGCGTCGAATCGGTTACGACAGAGGTCAACATCCGGAAAATCCGGATGGAGGTAGGCTTAGGCTTTGTTCAGGCTTAAGAGGCAGGCAAGGCAGGCTTGGGGCAGGGAGGCTTGGAGGCTAGGAGGAGGCTTAGGGTAGGAGGAGGGTGGGTATTTGGGCTTGGCTTAAGTTTGGCTTAGGCTTAGGCTGAGGCCTAGGCTTAGAATATTACTTGGGCTTAGGCTCCGGCTCAGGCTCAGGCCTACGCACAAGCTCAGACCTCAGCTTCTGTTCCAGAACCCGTCCTGGTCACCATCTCGCTCCTAATCTCCAACATCCGCTCGGTCAGCGAGATCAACATGGACTACTCGCTGGAGATATTCTTCCGGGAAACCTGGCGGGATTCCCGGCTCGCCTACGGCCCCAACGACTTCAACAAGGTCAGGTTAGCGGCCGAGTAAGCGCCAACTTTCAAGGCATATTCTTGAGCTGAACCCTCCTTTCAATTCTGGGACCCCAGACAAAATCTGTAAGTTTGCGCACTGTACGCGAATTATGCATGGACGCTTTTAACGCTCGGATAGAAAAAAAATATACTAATAAAAGTACAATATTTGTATAGTTAAAAAAACGTTAATAAAGCCTAAAAAACCGCTTTAAAAATTATCGAAACAAAGGCTTTGCCCGCTTGCACAACATAACAAAATCTTTGTCTGTCTCCTCGCATCCGCTTCTGAATTCTTATAATTTCTTCGTGAATTTTCCCCTTTTTAGGGGTTCCACAAAGCACGCGCTGGCTTGCAGACGATCATCTCGTTGCACGAGTCGTACGCCGACTTCTTGTGGCGACCCGACACTTTTGTGCCAAATGCCATCAACTCGAAGACGCCGCGGGATGATAGTTTTACGCATCGCTCCTTGTACAGGTTGGCGAAATACAGAAATGTAATGTGATGGTTCTTTGGCATTATCGGGGGGGGGTAATTTTTCCTGTGGGTCCAGAAATGTTTGATCGTAATAGCAACTACCTTGATAGTTTCGTGAGGAAAAATTCCGACTGTTTCAGTGTGAAAAATATCCATTACAGTTCGAAAAAGGATAAACATTATAACAAATAAATTATTTTAGGTACAGTATCAATAATTTTCGTCAAAAAAAGCAAAAATTTTACGCCGATAAATTTTAATAAACATCGTAAAAAAACATCATCCATTTATAACGGAAGATTGGGTCCTAAGAAAATGCCCCCCCCCGGATAATGCAAAAGTACCATTGAAAAAGCTATAAAACCCTGCCAAATTCCCTAGCATTCTTCAGGCTAACCGACAATGGCACTGTCATCACTAGTCGCCGAATTTCGCTGGTGGTGGAATGTAGTTTGGATCTTACGAGGTAAGTTTTATCTCATTTCTGGCTGATTATTTTAGATACCCATTCGACAAGCAGCTGTGCAAATTAGGGCTAGAAAGCTGTAAGTTTTTTTGAAACATTAGAAACAATTTTCTGTCCAAGATGGCTACACCGCCAACCAGATCACCTACAATTGGGCGGTCGATAAGAACCCGTTCGAGATGTACCCGATAAAATTGCCCGATTTTGAGATAGAAAAAGGCCTATGCGACGAAACGGGTTGTCGATTATACTACTGGTAAGACCGGAAAGGAAGAAAACTGTTGAGTTTACCTTTTCCAGGGAGTTATACCCGATTGTACGCTTGTTTCCTATTCTCACGCTCGGCCGGGTATTGCTATCTGCAGTTGATCGTTCCTTCCGTAGCCATAGTTATCACGGCATGGTTGAGTTTGTGGCGGGAGAGCGAGTCTTCGTTTGAGGTTTGTACTTTTCTAACTAAAATCTAAATCCTAAATCTTAAAAATAAAATAACGAGTAAATGAAAAAGGAAAGATCTATTTTACAATATGTAAACCCGACGCTATTTCTTTTTGAACCCTTTTCAAACTAAAAACATCTAAAATATACCATGAAAAACCGGAACACAATTTCAGGACATGATCACGATCCTGATGTCCATCATTTTCTTGTTGTACTCTTACAACAGCGTGATGCCAAGAGTTAGCTACATCAAGGCCATGGATATCTACCTAGGTATTTCAGCCCTTCAAATTGCTCAACTTAAAATTTATACTAGGCGTTTGTTTTTCGATCGCCTTCCTCGCCCTCATCAAACTTTCCATAATGACGTTTGTCAAGGTGCAGATCAGCAGGTATATCCCTGAAAGCTTCAAATGTTTAAAATCGCTAAAAAGGTTCTAAAAATCTTTGTAAATTTCTGTAGTCCCAGTGACACGGAGGAAATGTAAGTTACTCTTTTTGTCCCTAGATTGTCCTGAAAAATGATCAAAATAAACTTACGGAGTAATTCGCCGCCTAATCTTCCCCAAAACTTGCTCTTATTTTTTTCTACCCCTTTAGATAAATTTTATAACTACACTTTGATGTATACTTTTTAGGGAAAACGCTTCCGCCAATGGCTACATCCAGGTGAATAAGGACCCGCCGGCCGAGGAAGAACCCGCGCAGCGTTTGAGGCGCTGGATATTTTCAGAGCGGTGCATGCACATTTTTCACGTCTGCACACAGGTTAGTAATTTCAAAACGGGTGAAAAATTAAACTTGAAAAAAGCGATTAAACTTCTAAAAACCGGAAAAAGCGCTAGAAAATGTAGAAATGCTGAAAAAACCCTTTAGGTGGGCCTATTCCTATTCTTCACCGGCTTCTGCACCTTTTTCTTCCTCGTCTACCCGCGATTGCCGTACCATATCGATGATCCGGATTGTGACCCACTAATTGCCGTCGCGAGCGCGGTCAAAATTTAGCAATTGATCCTTTAAAATTCGCTCCTAATTAAAGTTAGAATTAAACCACCCCCACTTCATGAAGATATTTTTGTTATGTCTAGACCGAAAAACGGGTCGAGTTTGAGCTTTTTGTTGTGCTTCTCGTAGTGCAATAAAGTTTATCGACAACACCTACAACACACAAACTAGAAAAACGGCCAACGAGAATACCAGTAGCGGCGGTGAACGACTAAAGATCAACTAACAAAAACGGGCACACGCTCAAAAACCGGATAACTGTTCAACAGCAAGACAAAAACTAAACTAAACAAAAAACTATACAAGAAATGGACAAAATCAACAAGTAACACTTCAAAGTTTTGGGACATCAGCGGCAAGGGGCTCGGCTTTCGACGACTGGGCCGCTCCTTCCGTTTCGAAGACGATCTTGCTTTTCAGCTTGTCCAACTCGCCCTTCAGCTCCTCGCCGGAAGTGACCGGCTTCAGGCAGGCGGTTCTAAAGAGATATTTGGTTTTAATTAACTACCTTACCCCTTGCAAATATGTACAACCGGCTTGTCGGCACCCTTCAGGTAATCCTTGAAGCGTGGCGAGTTTTTGAGCAGCCAAGAATTATCTAGAAGAAATAAACTGAAAATGGTTTGTAGTTTATACCTTTATTGGCAGGATCCAAGAAGATCACTTCCTTATTCAAGACATGCACTCCTTGGACATAGTCGATGAAGGTTTTCGTGCGCGGATCATCCCTTGGGCCGACGATGACAATCTTGACGCTGTCCTGCTCGATCAGCCTCTCGTAGCCGGCGAGGATTTTCGGGAGCACGAATGGGAATCTAAAACAAATGCTTCATTAAACGAAGCGCGTTAAAACCCACTTCTTAATACGGCTCGCATATCTTCCGGCAATGGCCAGCGCTTTTTGTTTGTATTTGTCGTCCTCGAGCAGTTCGGCGAGCCGGACGAGATTGCACAACGCCACGGAAGTGCTGCACGGCTCGGCTCCGTCATTATCTAAAAGGACCTTTTTGGAAAACCCTGTGTTGTAAATATGTTTGTAAACATAAAAGCTTCACAAATTTTTGATAAAAATAGGGAATAGATAGAAGACTTTTCGATTAAAATGGGCGGTTTACGACCTAAAAGGTCAAATTGCTCAACATTTTCCGCTTCAAATCTAACTGCAGTTTATCTAAAAACTATTGGAAATTTTATTACCCGTAATGCCTGGATTTATGATAATGCAAAAGAAACTAGTTTTTCAGTAAACATTACCGTCAATAACCTTCATCGCCGGTCCATCGCTTGCAGTTTTCGAGCCAACCGTATAGCCACCGCCCTCCTCGTCCCAATAGTTGCTATCGAGGTGCTCCTGAAATAAATTTACACCTAATTTCGCCTCGCGGTTAAAATCTACCTCCAAATTAACGGCCATCTCGAGGTGCTTCTCATCAAAAGTCACTTGATAAAGATCCAGCAGACCCTGGATGACAAAGGCGTAGTCCTCGGAAAAAGCTGGCACTGGGTGCTCGCTGAAAACAATTTTAAAAGCCTATGAAACCGTACATTTGAGCGAGTTGGCCATCATCACCACGGTAGGCCGCCCTTCTCAAGTCGCCGTTTTCCGTGATCAAGTGCTGCTTGATAAATTCCACGTTTTTCAGGGCCCGTTCGAGAATGGCCGGGTCTTTTAGGGTAATGAAAGCTTTGCTGAGACCACTAAAACAATTCAAATTAAATGAAGCTTTCAGAAACATTACCTCAGCATCAGCCCTTGCCAACAGGTGACAATCTTCGAGTCGAGGTGGGGTTTTGGCCGCAGGGCGCGGCGTTGGAATAGGAAGGACTACAAAAAAATTTTTTAGTGTTTTTATTGTTGTTTCTTTTTGCCTTATAACCCCGCTAAGACCTACGCCATTCAGAAATATAAGACTTTGGTCTTGAAAATTACCTTGGCTTCCGAAATAGCCGCTTTCAGCTCCCCATCGTTGAGCCCGAAAGCCTCTGCCACTTCCGCATCAGGGTGGCGCACGATGAGTACATTTAGGCCTTTCAGCTCGCCGTGAGGGTCCTGTAAAGCTGATGCTCAAACAAGGAAAGATATAATTCACCGAATCAGGCGCCACATTCCCGGAATCTTCGATGTTGTAGTACATCTGGATGACGTCGGCCAGTGGGTGTTCGCCGGCCTTCCAATTTTTGAGGACTTCTTGTACTTCGGATAACTTCCAGACACAGAAAGCTCCTAAAACGCGGAAATGATAATAAAAAGGTCCAAAAACCTTCTTTCTTATGTGTAGCACCCTCTTCCGGTAGAGAGTCGGCATCTTCAGCGCTGTAGAAGCCGCCAGACTAGATAGATATATACCTTCAAAATAGAGCTCATACCTCATGCGTCAAATTGGCGTCGACGTACTCAATGATGTCCTTGATTACGTGCTCGTATTTGCCTGTCAATTGGTGCCACTGGGAGTACGTAGCAAGAAGTTGAGCCTGAACACAATTTTGAGCCTCAGCATAACAATTAAAGCCTACCTGATCGTAGAGCATCTTTTCAAAGTGCGGCACATGCCACTCTGCATCAACGGCGTATCGATGAAAGCCCTAAATAAGTTATTAACGGAATTAATACGTGTTCAAACCTTTCCAATATGATCGTGAATTCCTCCTCGATCCATTGCGTACAACGTTTTGTCCAGCATCTCCACCGCTTTATCATAGTGCGGATTTGCAGGGTATTTGACTGCCAGCTGGATGAGTAGGTCGAGGTCAACTAAACGAGACAAATCATAGATTTATCCCAAGTTTTGTATATACCTGGTTTTGGAAACTTTGGCCCGCCGCCAAAACCCGCATAAGTTTTGTCAAACTTTTTCGCGAGGTAGTCGTAGGTGGCGGCTTGAGCGGCTGCTGGGGCCGGCTTTTCGTCTAGCTTCTCGGTCGCCAAAAGGGAGCGTTTCAATTCCCGCACAATCTGGTCGCCCTGTTCAACGATTCCGGTCGGGTCTTCTTGCCACTAAAAATAGGGATATATAAAATTTTATACAAAACATACAGCTTTTGCGATGGTCATCAACAAATTCGAGAATCCGGGGCGGAACGGGGAACCGGTGGGCGGGAAATAGGTTCCTCCAACAAAGGGAGCAAGAGCGGGCGTGAGAAATACGGACATTGGCCAGCCGCCACTTCCAGTTGTGGCCTAAACGATACATTTTTTTTAACTCTAGGAAGAAAAAATTGACGTCATTACTTACCTGAATAAAATTCATATACATTCGATCAACGTCCGGCCGCTCTTCTCGGTCGACCTTGATCGACACAAAGTTCTCGTTCAAAAACTTTGCAATGTGCTCGTTCTCAAACGACTCCTTCTCCATTACGTGGCACCAGTGGCAGGTTGAATAACCAACTAAAATCCCTATTTTATCGAACTGATACGCTTACCTGATAGAAAAATGGGTACATTTCGATCACGGGAAGCTTGGAACGCTTCTTGACCCCAGGGATACCTAAAATTGGGTAACAAGTTAATTTTTAATTAATACCAATCGATTGGGTTATTCTTATGTTGAAGCAAATACGGCGATCTCTCGTTGGCCAGTCGATTTGTGTGCGCCATTCTTATAGAACTAAAAAAATGTGTCAGCAACTGACCTAACTTCCTACCTCAAACTCAACAAGCTCGTTCGGGTTTTCGGAAAAAGTCTGGCCAGCCAAGGCATCCGGGCTTCAAAAGAGCAGCGAAATGTTTGGACACACGAATAGCGCTTCAGCTTGTGTATCTGAAAATTTATTGCGTTGAGAGGAACTGTCGGTACACGAAAGACTGAGGGAAAGTTGAAGGCAAAAAAGATCAAGTTCAATCACAGTTCGGATACTTTGGAGCACCTTTATAAAAAAAAAACAAGGAACGAGGCGAAAGTTTAAAGATAAACAGTATTATAAGTTAATAACTCCTGGATTTTGGGAATCAAGGCATTTTTTGGTGAGCAGGTATATGCGATGAGTTTTAGGGGAAGGTTAATGCATAAATATGAGAGCCTATAAATTTGTTGATGGGCAGAGATTGTCGATAACATCAGCCAGGGGCAGCATTTTCGATTCAGGAATGAGCTTGAACTCCCTGGCGAATAGAATAAAGTGCTTTAGCGAGGTGTTGAGGTGACTTCCGGCTGAGAGCTTGTTTACCCTAAATCGTTATTTGGTAACTCTTTTTTTATGATACTTACTCGTTCAAATGCGCATGATAAACATGGGCAAAAACGCGAAAAAGCTGGCACATAATTCCCTCGCAGATCGAGATGAAGTCGGCTGGGAAGGGTTTGCCGAGCTGAAAATACATGGCCATAATTTTCTTTTTTCTATTTTGATTTTTATATCTTTCTGGCACCAACTTGGCTCGGAAATATCGTCTCGTCATCCAGCTGCTCCTGGATCCCCGTCAACAAATATGAAATGTACATCGGGGCGGTGGTGTGCAGGGTTTGCTATAGCTTTTTAAGGCTGTTTAGCTGATTTCAAACCTTTTGGCTATCCTGGAAGTCGTATTCGTGACCCTGGACGCTCATTTTTGGGCAGCTCGAGCTCGTGCAAATTGTGTCCAGCATGCCGTAGAGCATGCAGACCTGGTTTGACAGGTCTGCAATGTTCACCGCCAGCCATTCGTTTATATCTTCGCCCTGAAAGTTTATTTTAAATTAACCGTAGGTTTTGATAATTTAAAAGCTGCTAATGAAATCAAGGGCTAAATTATCGCGGAGAATTACGAGCTGAAATTACACGTTTTAACGTATTTTTAAAGCATTTATTTCCGCAAATCTAACCTTTGGCAATCTCACAGCGTCCCGCAAGTTTCCGGATCCGAGCGTTTGGCAATCCATACTATCCTTCAGGCTGGCCATCCAATTTTGCCGTCCTTTAGTGCACCAAGATTCCGCTTTGGGACCGAAAACACGTTTCAGCACAGCGGACCCTGCCCTTCCAGCCGATGCAAAGCGCCCCCAAAGGAATGTTATCGCGTAAACAAGTTAGCCGAGAACGCGCGCTTGGCGTTTGTATGGAGTAGCACGTCGGAATGTCCGGTCACAAACATTCCGTTACGCACCAAATTACGCCCTCTAAACTGCTCTACTAGCCGGGGTGGAAAAACTTAGTAAAGTTGTTTTGCCAGTTTCTGGACCAGAAACGTTTTCAAATTATAGTAAGGGCCTTAAAATTTTTCAGAAAAAGCATATTTTCTGAAAAAAGGGTCTCGATGTTCCTTTCCGTTCAAAAAAATAGAAAAGTATCTAAAAAAATCTGTTAAAACATATCAGGGATGGCCTAGGTTACTTGGAAAGGAATCGATTACGTATGATTTTCCTCCGCACATAATAGAACAGTACCAACGCACTTTTCGTTTCTTTTTTGAAACTACAAACGATACGAAAGCTCTTTACTTTCCAATCCCACTGTGTGTTGCACAAAACCCCCAAGGGTCCTTCCTGATTCCGGCCATTTCCTAAGCACACGCCCGGCCAAATTGTGTTCAGGGAATCACGGGGGTGTACAGAGGACAATCCCGGAAATTGAGAGAGCACTCCAGCCGGCCACGACGACGACGACCATGGAATTAATTGGTGCTCACCCCCAATGGATTCGGTTTCGTTGAGGGGATTCTGGAGGGAGAACGAACGGCGCGGTGGATTACCAGCTGGTGGCATGCATCTTGCCTTTTTTCGTGGGCCGCGATTTAAAGGAAATTTCGTTGTTCCTGATTTTTTTTCCGGGTTTAAATGGGTTGCCGAAGGCGTTGACGTCGTGGTGTCTGATTGTAATGCTAGACTTATCCGACGGATTGCTCCCTAATTTTATTCCTTTCCCAAAAATGTCTCGATTTTAGCGAAGGAGGCGGAGCTCAACAATTTTTTAGCGTTATAAAGCTAAAAAGCCGGTGTTTTGCCAGTGTTACTGTGTTTTAGTTTTAAAAAATGTCACTGTATGGGATTTTTTCGGTTTAAAAATCACACTGACGATGAATTTTCATTAACAATTTTGGTCAAATTTTTAATTTTATTTTACAGATCTTTTGAGCTAAATTTGATACAGCTTTTTTAATTAAATTTTTGGTTATTAAAAAGAACTAAAAGGACTCGCCAAACTGCTACAAACCTGCAGCTCCAAAAACTAAGAAATGTGCGTTTTAGCCAGCTTCGTATACGCTACGATACGCTTCTCTGAACACCTCTACCATGCATTTGCTATGCCAATTAGACTTACAGACGCCTTGAAACGAAAAACGAAACCTTAATTTTTATGAAAAATGAACAATTTTTAATATTTCACTTTATTTAACCTTAAAATTATCTATTATGAACTATCTACTTTCACCTATTTTCGGCCCCCTTCACCTTCATCCCCAATCCATATGCCATAAATCAGTTGGGGGCCCCGGCAATTTGCCGGGCCATAAGTCCAAATTGACGACGTCCAACCACCCGAAAGAAGCACGTTAAGGAGCCCGAGCTCGTAAATCCATCCCCCGGTTAAGAAGAGGGCCTGGTTAGAGGCTGGCCATTCGGTCGAAATGGCCGGCCATCATGATCGTGGGCCACTTTCGTGGGGTCCATGCGCCCCGTAAATCCATCCCCTTGCCGGGGAGATTGACAATTTTCGGCTGCGAAGCTGTGGTTAGAAATGGATTTTAAAGAGTCATGCCTATGGTCAAGCCCGAAAATCATAAATCTTATTGTTTTTAGGCTTTAAATGTGAAAATCGTACATTTTCGCTTTTTTGGGAGGTTTTTGCGTATTTAAAGGGATCGGCAAGGCAAGGGATCGAAAGTTGAGTCTGATCTCTTAATTTTCTAGGCTGTTTACACGTATTTTTGGATGTTTTCGTGGTATTGAGCTGACTACTGGTAGCTGACACGCACATGCGCATTGAAAATATTGCTTGTCAGTGCCAATTTTCAAGGAATTGTTCTAAAAAGCTTAAATCTTGCTGGAAACGCGTTAAAACGCTGAATTTTTCTTCTAGAGGCCCAAAACGACACAGTATTTTACGCAATGGAAAGCCAGGAGCTGCGCGTTGCGTGTGGCGAGCCTTAAAATCCGTAATCATGTCTTACACGTACCTTTAATCAAGAAGTTATTTTCTCCTTGCTGACGACTAGACCAAATTCCAGCGTCAGGATTACGTGATAACCGATGGCCAAAAAGTCATGATGCCCCCTTGGCTTGCTTTTTCGGCATCGGCTACCCGCTTGAGACGTTCCCACGGCCGGGCTAAAATTTGGTGAATGGCGCTAGGGGCTGGTGGCTCAGTTGAAAGGGTTGTTTTTCATCGGCCGACCCCCGTGGAATCGCATGATTTCGTTGAGGCGGCCAATTTATGAGGATTTCTTGGGGTTGACTTGTGACTTATCACGCTTATGCCGACAAAATATCATTAAAAAGCCGAGTCGCTCTCCCTTTAAAGTTACAAGCCACTCGGGGCCGCTAAAATATGGCCAATGCGCTAAAGGGGCATTACTACGGTGTCCTTTGAACTAGCTTTTAATAATTTTCCGCAAAATCAGCATTCTACTGTCCCTTCAATCTTTAAAAATATTCAAAAAAAGCGCCCAAAAAAGGGTATTAGTGTGGTGGGAATCAGCCCTGTAATCGCTAAATTGATATATGATACCGATACGTTGCGCTACGTGCCTACGTCACTTTACCTTGCGCATGCACGCCACTACGTTGCGTATTACTGTTTACGTATTTGGAAATTGTTGATCTTTCTATGTACCATTACATATATTTTTTCATGTTTCAAACCAGCATTTGAACTTCTCCCTTGACTACGTTACGCTACGATTGACGCATGCGCATTCGAGCATTAGTACCAAAAAACCTTTAGTTTACCCTTTAAAACATCCCGAACCGTCCTAAACCTTTTAGAACCAATCTGCCGCCTATTTTTCACTCAATTCCGGGTCTTGCTCCCGTCGCTCCCACCGTAACCCTCACCCCCGCCAAGGCCTAACCATATTTCAGCCCGGCTCCACGCAATTTTGCACCCCCATTTTCGGTGGGCACAGGGCCCCCGGCTCACGCAAATCGTAAATTTACGCGGAACTGGTGGTTTTTGGGGGCGGGAAAGGGGAGGTTTTCGTGGTGGGACCCACTGCCAGCTCTTTGTCCCCCATCCCGGAATCCATCGGCATATGTCAAGATTGGGGCCATAGATTTCGGGGGTCCCACCCCGAAATTTCGTTGGTTCCCGGGCCAAACCGCCCAGTTCCGCGAACCCTTCAGCTGGTTTCCGTTTTAAAGGAGCGTTGAAGGCTAAGCGGTTCTTTTGCATTACCGTGGGGGGGGAAGGAGCAATCAAGTCTTTTTGTAGTCATTTTAGTAAAATTTCACTATATTTCAAATGAAAAAACAATCGATATTTTTAAACATTGGCTTCTCCCGCCGATACCCCCCGATAAGGCAAAAGGTCCGGAGTAGCCTACTGATAAGCTAAGCCTAAACCTAAGCCTAAGCCTAAGCCAAGCCTGACCTAAGCCAAAGCTAGGCAAAAGCTAAGTCTAAACTAAACCCAGGGCTCAACGTAAGCTAATCCTAAGCCTAGGCCTAAGCTCGAGCTCAGTAGCTAATATTTTTGGCTAGAAAATTTGACTTTTTTGGCACGTCCAAGATGCCTTGTTGACATCTCGCAGCGATTCTTCCGATTTTGGCACCCGGCCAAGCGTGAATAAATCGCGGGCGCCTGGATTCGAGCCGGATTCTTTAAACAGGCGCGAATTCCTGAAGCAAATGTATAATTTTTGCAGTCGACTTTGTTTTTCAGGGCTTTGGGGTGCAGAATAGAGTCGATACTTTTGATAAAACGTGAGGGTCGATTACGCTATCATGGCTCGGTGGCAGGGGGGGTCCTTTCGGGGCCCGGGGGGGGCCCCCCCCCCCCCCCCCCGCGGGGCCCCCCCCCCCCCCGGGGGGGGGGGGGGGCGGGGGCGGGCCCGGGCCCCTGGAAGGGCCCGGCCCCCGGGGGGCCCCCGGGGGGGGGGGGGGAAAAGAAAAAAAAAAAAAAAAAAAGGGGGTGGGGGGGGTATACATACGGAAGAAAAAACGCACAAAATATTATATATATATATATAATGTTTAAACAATTATTTTTTTTTGGGGGAAAGGGGCGGGCGGGGCCCGGCCCCCCCCCCCCCCCAACACGACAAACGGGGAAGGGAAATTATAGGAAGGGGGGGGAAAAAAGGCGATTCCGGGTTTTTCTTTTTTTTCGGGGGGGGGGAAGGGGGGGGGCCCCCCCCCGCCCGGGGGGCCGGGCCCCGGCCCGGCCCGCCCCCCCCCCCCCGGGGGGGGCCGGGGCCGGGGACCGGGGGGGGGGGGGGGGGGGGGGGCGGGGGGGGGGGGCCCGCCCCGGCCCCCCCCCCCCCCCCGGTGGCTAAATCTCGTTAAAGGCTGCTACAGCGATGCGTAGTTGTCTACACCTAGTCAGCGGAAGGGGTCGATCCTCACGCTTGGTGGTTCCTTTAATTCTCCAGAAGAAACTGAAGTGTTTTCTTTCATAGTCTTTTGAGTTTTTTATGCGGACATTCTGAATCGCAGTCAACTCGATTAACACGACGGGTATGTCGAGACCCAGTAAATAGGAGGGGTAGATTTTTACGCTTACTGATCCCTTTAAGCCCTCCAAGAATCCCTAAAATAATTTAAACGTTTTTTGTATGTTTTATAATATTTTTTGAATCTCGACAAACTCGACCAGCAGGACATGTGGCCCCAAAAATGAACGGGGAACAAGAAGGACGCACCCAACAAGGTTATGCAAATTTTTGCCTCGGCTGCCAAGTTCGGCAGCCCCCCCCGCACGCGGAAACTTCCCGGGGCAATAAATA